CATGACTGTGCCTGAAGGTAGGGGAATGGTTATCAGCTGCTTCATTGAGAGCAGTGGCCTCAGCACTGGCACTCCTGCAGGTGCGCCGTGATACTTTGAATCATAGGCAGTATTTACCAGGTTCCCACTGTGCTGTAGCATCGGTTAGATGCTATAGATAAGGTGACCATATAATTTATCACCAGGGTCACTTTGAGAAGGAGAGGGAGCTCTTAATAATTATACCAGATCATAAACTCAGCCTGTCCCCAGTAAACCAAATGGAGGATTGGCTTAGCTATGGGACATAGAGGAATGCTGTTCATATCCTTAGTCCCCATTCTAGAAGATACTTATAACCCTGCTAAAGGGCTAGTACTTACACACTAAACCAGTGGTCCCCGACCTTTTTGGCACCAGATACCAGTTTTTTGGAAGACACTTTTTCATGGACCAGGGAGAGGGACAGTGTTTCAGGATGAAAATGTTCTAGCTCGGATAATCAGGCATTGGTTAGATTCTGTTAAGGAGCACACAACCCAGATCCCTTGTGTGTGCAGTTCACAGTAGGGTTCAGGCTCCCATGAGAATTGAATGCCACTGCTGACTGACAGGAGGCGGACCTCGGGCGGTCATGCTCACTCACTTGCCCGCCGCTCCTGCTCTGCTGCCCAGTTCCTACCACGCCAGGGACCTGCTGCTCACCTCCTGCTGTGTGGCCCCGTTCCTAACATGTGAGGGACCTGCTGCTCACCTCCTGCTGTGCGGCCCAGTTCCTACCACGCCAGGGGCCCGCTGCTCACCTCCTGCTCTGTGGCCTGGTTCCTAACACCCCAGGGACCTGTACTGGCTCACAGCCCAGGGCCTGGGGACCCTGCCCTAAACAATTCGAGAACATCATGTTTAAAAAAAATCCTCTCTGTAATTAACCTGTTACCCCCAAATAAATTTCCCTTCTGCCATATCATTCCCAAACAGATGTGTGCAAGCATTTCTCATCTTTAAAAATTGCTCCCTTTACCCCACCTATTGCCCCATTTTTCTTCTCTTCTTATAGAAAACATTTCCTGAAAACAGAGTCTATACCAAGATCAGCAAGCTTCCTGTTAGGGGCTGGATAATAAATATTTTAGCCTTTACTGAACGTATGGTCTCTGTTGCAACTATTTCTCTGCCATTGTATGGCAAAAGTCACCATAAACAATATTTAAACAAATGGGTTTGGCTGTGCTCCAAAACCACATTATTTACAAAACAGGTGGCAGACCGGCTTCAGCCCACAGGCCATCATTTGCTGGTGCCTCCTCTGTTACCATGGCCTCTCCTTCATCACGTCATCACTCCACTGAGACTGCTCTTGTCAAGGTCACCAACAACTTGCCCGTTGTCAAAATTGTAGCAGTTCTCTGTCTTCGTCTTATATGGTTTTTTATTTTTTATTTTTTTTGAGATGGAGCCTTACTCTGTCACCTAGGCTAGAGTGCAGTGGTGTGATTTTGGCTCACTCCAACCTCTGCCTCCCAGGTATAAGCTATTCTCCTGCCTTAGCCTTCTGAATAGCTCGGATTATAGGTACACACCACCACACCCAGCTAATTTTTGTATTTTTAGTAGAAACGGGGTTTCGCCATATTGGCCAGGCTGGTCTCAAACTCCTGACCTTGCCATCTGCTCACTTTGGCCTCCCAAAGTGCTGGGATTACAGGTGTGAGCTGCCATGCCCGGCCTTATATGAGTTTTTAACAACAGAAGACAATCATTCTTTTCCTCCTCCTCCTCCTCCAAACACTTTTGTTTGGCTTCTAAAACAGCCATAGTCCCTGATTTTTGCTCATGTCACTGATGGTTTTTCTCCGAATCTCTGCTTCTCTTTTTCATTTTAGCCTTCTGAATATTGGAGTGCCCAAGGGTTAGCCTCATGCTGTCTCTTCTCTGTCTATTCTCTCTTCCTATATGACTTCTTCTAATCTTACAGACTGAAATATCATCTCTAAAGTAATGACTTCTAAATTTAAACCCCAACCTATTACCTCTCTTCCAAGCTCCAGACTCTTATGTCCAATTTAATATCTCTACTTGATCTCAAGTAAGGTATCTTTTTGCAAGGGTGACAGAGTTTTGCTCTTGTTGTCCAGGCTGGAGTACAATGATGCTATCTCAGCTCAGTGCAGCCTCTGCCTCCCAGGTTCAAGCGATTCTCCTGCCTCAGCCTCCCAAGTAGCTGGGATTACAGGCGCCCGCCACCACACCCAGCTAATTTTTGTGTTTTTAGTAGAGATGGGGATTCACCTTTTTGGCCAGGTTGGTCTCGAACTCTTGACCTCAGTTGATCCACCCGCCTCAGCCTCCCAAAGTGCTGGGATTACAGGCGTGATCCGCCAGCCCAGCCTACTGTCTCTGTTTCTACCAACACTCTGTTCCCAACCACTAAGTAATTTCTAAGAAGTTCCAGACTTTCTCTCCGTTTCTTCTTCTGAGCCCTTTTTTAGAATCACCCTTAGCACTCTGTTTACAGCCGTACAGACTTTTCCAGCATTCACTTCAAAGCTCTTCCAGCATCTATTCATTACCCAGTTCCAAAACCACATTTTCAGGTATTTATTGTAGCAGTAGCCCACTTCTTGATACCAGTTTTCTTAGTCTGTGTTATGTCACCATCACAGAATGGTAAACACTGAATCATTTAAAAAGAAAATATTTGTTTCTTAGAATTCTGGAGGCTGGGAAGTCCAAGGTCAAGGGGCCCACATCTGGCAAGGGCCTTCTTACTATAGCATCCCATGGCAGAGGTGGAGGGGCAAGAAAGTGTGCACATGCTTGATAAAGTGGCTGAACAGGCCTTTCTGTCAAGAACTCACTCCTGAGATGCCATTCACTCACTCACCAGGGCAAACCCCTGTGACCTAATCACCTTGTAATAGCCCCCAGTCAACGCTGATGCATTGGGGATTAAGTTTTCAACACATGAATTTTTGGGACGCTTTCCAGCAGTAGCACAGGCCACGCACCCTTAACACATTGCAGACGGACTCTTCATTCCAGCTGTAGCACAGGTCACACACCCTTAACACATTACAGATGGACTCTTGTTTCCAGCTGTGCCACACACACCTGCCTGTCAAGCCCGACATCTCCTGTCTTCCCTTGTTCAGTCAGTGCACCCTGTCCCTGGCTTTTCAAACTAAACCCCAGGAATAGTGCCTGGTTCTTCCCTCTCCATCATCACCCACACGCAGTCCGTCAGTGAGTCCTGTGCATTATACCTTCCTGGAAACCCTGAATCCCTCCACATCTTTCCATCACCACTGGCTACCTCATCTAGACCTCCACTGGCTCATGTGGACAGCTGCAGCAGCTTTGTCACAGGTCTTTCCCTCCTGCCTCTGCACAGCCCCTTCGCCACAGAGCAGCCAGGACAGTCTTTCATACAAGTAAACTGTCCGTCCGCCCCTGTGTAAAACCTTCAGTGGCTTCTCATTTGCACTTAGACCAGAGGCACTCCATGCTCTGGCTGCTGCTTACCTCCCTCCAGATTGTTTCTAGACACTTCCCACTGCGATTTTACACTACCACCTGCTGTCTTCCTTTTTGGACCAGAATACTGAGGTCTTTTCTCTATCAGGGTCTTTGCATTTGCTGTTTTCTCTACTGAAAATTCTCTTACTCCAAAATCGACAAATTCTGACACCTCCTTGTCCTGCAGGTCCTGGTTCATGTGCCCTTTTTCAGGAGACCTTCCATGACCACCATCTCCCTTATTCTCATCACCTGTCACACATGGGAATTTTCTTGTTTCTTTGTTTTGCTGTTTTTCCAGGATGTCATCCCCCTTACTTACTTTTCAAAGTCAGTTCGTTCCTTGAAGACAGAGACACCATACTGTATTGTCTACCATTGGATTCCCAGTGGTTAGAGTCATGCCTGGTGTGTGGAAGGCATTCAGTAAATACTCACTGAATGATTGAAGAATGAATTAAGGAGATGCTGACTGGTGCCTCGTACTGTAACTGCTGCAGGAATTCAGAGTATCACTTTAGCTATAGGTAGTCTTTAGTCATGGGACAGTCAGGTACATGTGGTCTACACCTATGTGGCCTGCTAGCTCTCTCACAACTGGGCTCACTGCTTCCCCTCCTGGCAGAAGCTGCAGCAGGGTTGTAATACTTTTATTGTGTAGCATCCATCTTTGGAGGTTTTTATTTCAGTGGAAATACTGGGCTCACCGTTAGCTTTCTGTTCGTTTTTTGAGACAGGGTCTTGCTAGTCACCAGGCTGGAGTGCAGTGGCATGATCACGGTTCACTGCAGCCTTGACCTCCCAGGCTCAAGTAATCTTCCCACCTCAGCCTCCTAAGTAGTTGGGACTACAGACGTGCACAACCATGCCCGGCTAACTTTTTTTTTTTTTTTTGCAGAGACTTAGTCTCTCCATGTTGCCCAGGCTATTCTTGAACTCCTGGGTTCAAGTCATCCTCCATTATCAGCCTCTGAAGTGTTGGGATTATAGGTGTGAACCACTGTTAGTTTTAAACATTCCTTTCTAACTCCGTTGCATTGGTTTTCAAATGGGGTACTGTAAATGTCTTTAAGATTTGTTGCAGTCTGGAGTCCCCATTCACTGTCCAGGTGTTTTGAATGCCCAGTGTTCTGGAACTTCCAAGTTCAGAGCTTCCCCTCGCCCCAATTTAGAGCTATCTCTGTCCCTCCGTATGAGGCTTTGAAGGTAACTGCATATGTGTGCTTGCACACACCCATAGCCACACACAGAGATATGCATGTCCTATTATTGTCAACACCATGTACAGTAGTCACTGAGATAGAGGGCAATCATTTAGTTTTAAATTAAAACTTTGTGAGGCACATTGGTAAGAGTTCTGATTGCCTGTATGCGGGAAACATAATGTTGGAATAAGTAGGATGAATCAAGAGAGCTTTATGGAAATTTTCTTTTGTGCCTGGAATTCATTATGGTTCAGCTGTCTCAAGTTGGTTTTTGTTTTTCATGTATTTCTCTTACTGTAGGCACTTGAAGAGGCTCAGAAAGCTATCCAGCAACTCTTTGGCAAAATCAAAGATATCAAAGACAAAGCTGAAAAATCAGAGCAAATGGTGAGTTCTGGTTTCTTCCCAACTTTTTTGCAACAAAGAGTGAGGTGAGCTTCTCATCCAGGCATTCTAATAATGGGCTTTTTCTCCCACTCTGCAGCCACAGTCATTTGCATCTCTGAAGCAAGCACCTGTCAATTCATTCAGATCAATTCAGGGGGAGCTGCTTGCTGGACAGCAGACTCACCATCTCTCCTGCCCTGCCTTGGCAGCCTGTTTTGTTTGTTTGTTTGATTTTAGTTCAAAATTTTATTGTTTAATTTATTTTTAAATATTTTTATGCAATAAAAAGGAAAAGTCCTTGTCTAGCCATCCTCGTGGGGCATCTGTCGGTCTCTCACACAGGTCACTCAAATTAATAGGAAAGAAAGAACAGGGCCTGAAGTTATAAATAATAGAAAATAAAAGATCTTTTGTCTCCAGCGGGGGAATAGATGAGAGGATGGGAGGCCAAGACTGGGTGGGGACGGGCAGGGGCAGAGCAGGAACCCCCCACTCCTGCTGGACCCTGTCCCTGCCCTCTGTGAGGCCCCTCCCATTCAAGGTGCTTGGCAGGAATTCCCCATCTCCCCTGGGGAAAGGGGGGATGGGGGGGCTGGGAGTGGTCGGAGCTGCTGGGGGAAGAGACATAGATCACTCCTCCCTCCACTCACAGAGGTCTCAGGTCATGGCCAGGACAATCTTCAGTTCCCTGGGGGGTGGAAGGGGAGCTGCTGGGAGGGATGGGATTGAACTGGTTGGAGGGGAAAAGAGAAGAGAGCAGGAGCATTAGAACCCAAGCAGCTGTCCCTTCCTCCAATGCTGTCCAGTAGGGGTGTGGGGGTGTGTCTGGGAAGGAGCGGCCTCCTCAAGGTGTCTCAGGGGCTGTCAGAAGCACAGGTCTATCGCTGTGTTTCCCAGTAAGCCAGAGCCCTCACTTGTGTGCCCAGCTCAGCCCCCCAGACCCCAGTCTGACCCTCTCTGCTGCACTGACCTTACCTCGGCTAAGTCAGGAGACAGTCCGGGTCATTGAGAGTTGGTGAGAAAGTGGGGAGGGGGGCTGCTGGATCACAACTGAGTGAGGACGGAGGGAAGCAAAGGACAGAGCCAGGAGCAAGCCCCTGGCGGCGGCGACTGTGGCTTCTGCCCACCCTACATACCTCACAGACCGATGCAGGTTAGTGGGCGCCCTGTGGGACAGCCCTGCCTCCAAGACCCCTCACTCCCCACCCAGAACCCGTGCATCCTGCCCCACCTGCAGCCCCTCAGCTCTTCCATGCCAAATTCCCCCATCTAATGAGAACTCATGAATCCTGTCATCGGCTCCTCCTGGAAATCCAGGTGCCTGGCCAGGCTGCTCACCTTAGGGGTGTTCGATGTAGGGGTAGGGTGAGGGTATGGAAGCTGAGAGTGCAGGTACCCCACTCTGGGGCACCGTACCTTTGGGGGGGCCCCATGACTCTGGGGTGGTTGCAACAGCATCGCCTGGGGCAGGTGGGGAGCCCCAGGGTGAGGGGGCAGGGCTGCTGTGATTCCAGTTTGGACATGGGCCTGGGTAACATGGGCCATGTTGGTGAAGCCGTGGGGCAGCTGCAGGTGGTGGATGGCATACACAGCGGCTGGCTGGGGGAAGCTGCTCTGAGGGGACTGGGCAGAAGGCAGAGGGTGGTGTGCCTGTCAGGGCTTCTCTGGGTGGTACAGATTCTGCTGTGGCTGTCCACTGCCCAGGTGTGGGACCTGCCCTGCCTGATGCTGGACAGGACTGGGGGCTGCATGCTGGGACTGCGGCTGGCTCCTGGTAGGCGTGGTAGCTGGCTGCAGCTGGTTGGCATGGAGCTGCGTGGCATGGTGTGGGTAGGACTAGTGAACGGTGGCATAAAGGGCGTGGGGGGTAGGCTGCTCCGCAGAAGGGTACTGAGGGGTGGAGGATGACACGATGGCTTGGGATGGCTGCTCAACATCAGCATGCATGGGTTGCTTTGAAGCGTGGGGGCAGACACTGGCTGTGAGGGGTAGTGGGCCATGGGCTGCATCATGGCAGGCTGGCCTGGGAATTGCTGAGGGTTGTAGGGGATGTAGGAAGAATAGGGCGTGGCAGCCACCAGAGGCAGGCCAACAGCCCCGGCTGCCTACATCATCGGCAGGGCTGAGGCTGGCTGGTGTTGGTCCGAGTGCTGCGGGGGCAGGGAGCCTTTTGCTCCCTGGTACTTGCCCTGCTGCCCAGGCACTGAATTAGTTACAGGATATGGATACATCTGAGGTGCCTGCACAGCTGGTCCCATGTGGATCTGAGGTATGTAGGAGATGTACTGGGGGCTGTATAGCCCACTCTGGCCTGCTGTCAGCACGGGAATGGAGGGAGTTGAATGAGTCCGGGGTCCCGGAGAAGTTGGAGTACTAGTGGATTTATTCACAAACAGCAGAGGCTTTGTAGGTTTGAACTCCTTGGCATTGGGGTTCAACGTTGATTTCTTCACTTGTTCAGCAACAGGGCCCTCATCCTTTTCCTCCCCCTTGATAAGGCCCACCGGGGGGCTGCTGGTTTGGCTTGGGCAAGGTGGTGGGGGCTGCTCTGTCCCCTGAGTGCCTCCTGCTGGTTCCAGGGGTTGTTTGTCCTCCTTATCTGATACGGACTCCATCTTGGAGGAGACAGGAGACCCCATGGGCTCTGAAGTCAAGAGATCATCAACCTCCTTTTTTTTTTTTTTGAGACGGAGTTTCGCTCTTGTTACCCAGGCTGGAGTGCAATGGCGCGATCTCGGCTCACCACAACCTCTGCCTCCTGGGTTCAGGCAATTCTCCTGCCTCAACCTCCTAAGTAGCTGGGATTACAGGTGCGCACCACCATGCCCAGCTAATTTTTTTTTGTATTTTTAGTAGAGACAGGGTTTCACCATGTTGACCAGGATGATCTTGATCTCTTGACCTCGTGATCCACCCGCCTCGGCCTCCCAAAGTGCTGTGATTACAGGCTTGAGCCACTGTGCCTGGCCCCAACCTCCTTCTCTTTTCCTTTGGCCTCCTCCTTTAAGATCCGGGGAGGGAAAGAATCCAGGCTGTTCTCCAGTGAGCTACTGGGCTGAAGCTTAAACTGGGCCCCAAACTTTCTTAGTTCTTCCAATTTGAATTGTTTCTGTTCATTCTGAAGACCAGGGACTTTCCCAGCTATCTGATCCAGCTCCTGGGGCTCCAGAGTTCTCCCAGGTTCCTTGGTAGAGAGTTCCTTTACATCTGTGGGGGCCAGGGAGATCTTTGGAGAAGCTGGGGAAATGGAGCCCACTCCAGGATCTGAGACTGATGAGGTCACAGGGATGGAGGCTGAAGAGGTTGGCACTGCCGAGCCAATGGGAGGCTCAGGACAGGAAGCTGAGATTGGGGCAGGTGCAGCAGACTTGGGAGAATGCGGGGGATACATCCGGCCCACTGGAAGAAAAGGGGGAGCTGCAAGAGGTGGTGAAACAGAAGTTTCTCCAAAAGGCCTATTACTGGGTCAAGACAGAGTCTTGGCACCTCTCAGAGGCTGCCGTGCCTTTGGGGACATGCAGGAAGGGCCTCCATTGATACCACGGGCCTCAGAACCTGGGCCAGGGCTACTATTGTCCAGATGGTGAGGGCCACAAGTTGGCAAAGAGCTAAGGCCAGGCCGCCCGCCCCGAGAGCTGCTGCATCGAACTCCTCCCTGGGGGCCTTCCCGGACTCATTGAGGCAGAGGGATATACTTCCCCTCCCTGGATGCCAAACTGGGGCTCTCCCGCCCTAAACCCTGACGCTGCACTGCACTGTGCTTCTCCTCTTCAGTGCGCCCCTCATCATTCTCCATGGGGATCTGTAGGTGGTACTGGGGGCTTGATTCAATCTCTCGAGCTAGCTGGGCCGCACGTAGCTCTCGCTGATGAAACTCTTCTGAGTTGTCCTTTCCTAAGGGCACCGTATAAGAAGAAAGACTGCTATCATAGGTGGTCTTCACACCATAGTTCTCCTCATTGAACTTGAACATTTCATTGGGGTCCCATCCATTGGACATGTTGGACTCAAGGTCGTAGTTGTCGCTATTGCTGTCACCCCCCTCCCAGCACTGAAGCACCTTCTCTTTGTGTTCCCCATTCACTTTTGAGTTCTTGGCAATGGCTCAATCGGTGGACTTGTCTTTAGTAGCGTAGTTAAAGTCAACATTTCGGAAGTGAACGAGGATGACATCACTTGGCTTAAACACCGTGGTGTCCACGATGTCCTCCCAACGAGGGCCACCTGCTGGCTCAGATGCTTTCCAGTGCACAGCATTCACTGCTAGTTCAAACTTTGAGCTTAGCATCTTAAAGATAACCTTATAGGTGGTGCCATTTTTCACCTTTACATCACAAGTGGAGCCCACAACAGCTGTAAGGAAATGCAGCATTCTGGAATTGTAGACAGACGCCTTCAAACACAGGTGACGGTGGGGGTCCCTTTCCTGTGCTCTGTCCCCTGGTGCTGCCGATGGTGGTGGGCCCCTGGCCTCTCCTGGTGCTGCTGCTGCGGTGCCTGCGCCAAGATGCCTTCTGTTCCCTGCGCTCCTGACAGCGGCCACAGGCCCTAGGCAGTGGGAGGCGGCTGCTGAAGGCCCTGGGTGGAGCCGGAGATGGCCAGGGGCCTGGGAGCCCACTGTTGGAAGAGCTGGTGCCCCTGGGGGGCCGGCAGGCCATGGCCTGTTGTTGCATGGGGGGCGGCTGCTGGGGCTGGGAGGGCTGTTGTGGGGGCTGAGGCTTCAATGTGATGGTAGCGTCCTGAAGGGGAATCAGAGGGAAGGGAGGAAGAGAGGGGACTGGGACTGGGGCCCCGCCGGAGAGCGGGGGTAGCGAGGGGATAGGGCAGGCGGGGGGAGCCCCAACCCTGGTTTTAAATAGGCAACGTTTTGTTTTTTTCTCTCCTTTCTCAGAAATAGTTTCCTAGTCATTGTGGATTCCTTTCTCTCTCTTTTTTTTAATTTTCTTTTTTTTTTGAGATGGAGTTTCGCTCTTGTTACCCAGGCTGCAGTGCAATGGCGCGATCTCGGCTCACTGCAACCTCTGCCTCCTGGGTTTAGGCAATTCTCCTGCCTCAGCCTCCCAAGTAGCTGGGATTACAGGCGTGCGCCACCATGCCCAGCTAATTTTTGTATTTTTAGTAGAGATGGGGTTTCACCATGTTGACCTAGATGGTCTCGATCTCTTGACCTCGTCCTCCCAAAGTGCTGGGATTACAGGCTTGAGCCACCGCGCCCGGCCCTGTTTTTAATTTTCAAGCTATCCCTCTGAAGTGGATTCCTTTCTCTAACATTTGTTTGAATCATGTATTTCTCAGTCAAGGTGTACAGTATGTCACTTGGTAGCACACAGAGAGTGTGGTCCGGGATCTGTGAGGAAGGATGTCTCCTGCCCGTGATCGGTGTGTATAAACATGGAGAATATGCCCCTGGATCTGTGAGGAGGGATGTCTCCTGCCCGTGATCCGTGTGTGTGTAAACATGGAGAATATGCTCCTGGATCTGTGAAGAGGGATGTCTCCTGCCGGTGATCTGTGTGTGTAAACATGGAGAATATGCTCCTATATCTGGGAGGAGTGATGTCTCCTGTGATCCTCGTGTATGGTTTTGGTGGAATTCTCCCTTGAGAATTTGTGTCCCCCAGTGCTGTGCTCAAACACTTGCCTTGAATTCTGAGAACCCAGCATTCACCCTTTCCTCATCCATCGGAGGCACTGGGAAGCGCTGGATCCAGAGTTCACAATCTGACTAAATAATGTCCTGTCTCTCAGTTGTCTCAGAAGTCCAGTGTCTTCAACTGTAAAATGAGAATAATGGCACTTGCTTCACAGGGTTGTTGTGAGAATTAAAGGTATGGAGAGCACTTGTTACCCAGGCTGATTCTGTGGTCCTTCCCCAAGGATGCACTATACTCAGCAGCACCCAGGCGTCCTTGAAGCGTGTTTCAGTGACAGTGTCCAATGCTGCTTTCGCTGGAGTTTATTGCGTTTGCTGATGTCCTTATGATGCTAGTCTGTGTTCTGGACTTGCTTTCTCTTCCAGCCGAGGGGCTTTGCAGTGGCAGTTTGCTCCCTAGTTACTAGATGTCTTAAACTTTTAAGGCAGTTTGTTTTCCTGGACAGTGCTTTGCTGAAGGGAGGAGACGTTGGCATGAGGGGAGAAGTGATCTTTGCTGAGCTCTTTTAGTGTGCCAGCGCTGCGCTGGTTTCTTTGTACTGGCACGCTAAGGTAGCCCTCATAACAACCTTATGAACTAGGTTTTATGATCATTATTATCTTTGCAAGTACCCATTCTATAGATGAGAAAACAGACTGGGTGAGGCTGAGAAATCTGTCGTAGGATGCAGAGCTGGTGAGTGGTAGAGCTGGCACTCAGTCCCCATTCTGTCTGACTCTCAAACCTGCCACTTCATGTTCTGTCCTTTCTTGGCTGCTCATGGGCAACAGTTGAGGTGAATCAGCTATGGCATTCTGCTTTGCACATGGTCTCTTGTAGTTTGACCTGAGTACCCCTTGCGTGCCTTGCCTTTGAAGGCTTTGTTAAGGGAAAAATAAGTAGTTCGGTTTGCCTAAAGAAGCACAGGCTGTGGGACTGGGAGTGATGGGAAATCCTGGGAACAAAGAGACCAGTCAGCTGCAGTGCAGAGCAATGAGGGACTGAACAAGGAAGAGAAAGAAAGGCAATAGGAAATGACACAGAGGAAGAGTTTTTAGGACTCAATGACTCACTGATGTGGGGGCTAGGAAGAGTCATAGATGACTGTGACTTCTAACACAGTGGTTAAAGTCCCCCAATGCGGCCGGACATGGTGGCTCACGCCTGTCATTCCAGCACCTTGGGGAGGCAGAGGAGGGTGGATCACTTGAGGCCAGGAGTTCAAGACCAGCCTGGCTAACATGGCAAAATCCAAATATTAATCAGGCATTGTGGTGCATGCCTGTAATCCCAGGTACTCTCGAGACTGAGGCAGAGAATTGCTTGCCTGGGAGGTGGAGGATGCAGTGAGCCTAGATCGCACCACTGCACTTCAACCTGGGTGACAGAGCGAGACTCCTTCTCAAAAAAGTAAATAAATAAAGACCCCCGATGTTAGGACTGAAGCTAAGAAACCCAGAAAGAGGTACAGAGATGTTTTCTTAGGAAATAGGATTATGATCTCAGAGTTGGAAGTGGGTGATGAGATTACAGGGCCAGTCTTCTGTCTTCTGTATCTAGTTTATTATACCACTCCTGGTTGTTTTTTTCCCCCCAAATTCAAGTATTTGGTAAAGTGGTGGGTTTCCCACTTGTCTGTTGAATATGCTTTCCTAGTGCCTGAAATACACTTGCATCCCCAGAGATAGTGTCTCTTCTCTTGGACCTGCTGAAACAACACTGTCAGGACCTTGTTCCCCAAATTGCCTTCTGACCCCTGAAGTCTGCTCTGCCCTCTTGGTACCTTACATATTAAGCATTAAGTGTGGCTCATTAGTTTCTTATGGAGCTACTTGCAAAAGTGTTTACATCTTTCTTAATCTTCTTCCTTTCTTGTGGTTTTCCAATGTTTAGGTGAAAGAAATCACCCGTGATATTAAGCAGTTAGATCATGCGAAACGCCACCTGACCACCTCGATCACAACACTGAACCACCTGCACATGTTGGCGGGAGGCGTCGATTCCCTCGAGTAAGCAATGCCAGCTTTCTCTATTGGGGTCACAGGAAATGTATCACATGGAGAGAATGTACTGTGGACTCACTGACTTCTCAGACAGGAAAGTCTCACCACTCTGCCCCACTTTCTGCAAATTGCCTTCAAGTGTTCAGTCACCATTTTTGCTTTCTGCCTTCTGGTGTTCAAAACCTAACAAAGGCTGGCAGCCAGTCTGAAGGGGACCCAGGAAGGCGTTCAGAATGACTCCAGGAGTGTGGCTCATCTTCAGATTCTTGCTCTGTTCCATCAGGGCAGACAGTGACTCAGGCCCGTCATCACTCCCTGCAGCTTCTGCCTCGGCAGGCTTCCTGCTTGTGTTGGGCTGAGTTGCGCTGTCATCGAAGAGATCATATGAGACAGAACTTTGAATTGTTCAAACCACTTCTTTTTTTCGATCTGCTTTTTGAAAAGTAGCTTTGTGTTTGGCTTGTAGAGGGAATGGTACATGAGAACAGTAGGAAGAGTTGGTTATTAGATTCTGCTACTCCAGCTCACCTCTGTGGCCTCAGGGTGATTCCATGTGTGTATGGGAAAGCATGTCTTTATAGAAACTGAGATACAGCATTCAATGTCCTGGGTGCGGGGAGTGGGAGAGTGCCTTGAGGGAAAGAGGAGGAGGGGCAGGCCCCTTCCTGACCTCTGCTAGGCATTGTATGAGTTCCAGGGACCCTGGTCCACCCTACTGTGAGCAGTGAGAACAGCAGCCAGAGGGAGACCAGGAGGGCGATCTCATTTGTTTCTTCCTCAAGTGGTCTGCATTGTCCACCAAACCATCGGACCAGGCAGTGGTAGTGCCCTAACACCTTGGCTCAAATTGGATCCTTTTTCAGTGCCTCTTAAGGAAAATAATAAATTGCAAATTTAATTAAATAGCCCAACCCTGATGAAAAATTTAGATCTGATAGTTTATACTTCCTCCCTTTGTGTTACTTGATTTTGTCAGCATCCTTTTATTTAAGCTTCATTAACCTTAGCAGTAGGGAAAGCAGAGGTCTCTGACACAGAGATGCTTCAGAACCTACAGACTGGAGTTAATAGGTAAAGGCCCTTTTTTTGTAGGGGGGGGGGCGGGTCTCACAGTGTCAACTAGGCTGGAGTGCAGTGGCGCTATCTAAGCTCGTTGCAGCCTCCGCCTCCTGAGTTCAAGTGATTCTCCCGCCACAGCCTCCTGAGAAGCTGGGATTACAGGCACGTGCCACGACGCCAAGCTAATTTTTCTATTTTATTAGAGATGGGGGTTTCACCATGTTTGCCAGGCTGGTCTTGAATTCCTGACCTCGTGATATGCCTGCCTCGGCCTCCCAAAGTGCTGGGATTACAGGCGTGAGCCACCGTGCCTGCCCAGATGGGTTTGATTTGCTCATAGGCTATAATCCTCAGATAGTAACATCCCTACCCCTCTTTGTCCAAAGCTTGCTAGTCCCATAATATCCAGCTCAAATTCTAAATCTATAGTCTTCCCAGATTCCCCTCCCCACAGTTAATGAGACTTCATCACTCATGCATTCCTTTGTATCCACCATAGCACATAATGTTACTCTGTTTAGAACATGGTTCATCCTATTTGATACTAGTTAGATGTGTACTTGACTCTCTGCCTTACTATGTGATGTCACCTTGAGGATTTGGACGAGATCCTATACTTTTCCTCCCCCAGCGCACAGCACCTTACGTATTCAGTTCTCAGTGAATGTTGATTAAACTGAGTTGATGTCTGTTTTAGAGCTAGAGTAAGTTGTTCTGTATCTATATCTTGTGTCCTTAGTGTTTTTCTAGACCTTTAAACGTATTATTTCCTTGCAGAGCCATGACCAGGCGAAGACAGTATGGAGAAGTTGCTAATCTCCTTCAGGGTGTAATGAATGTCCTGGAGCACTTCCACAAGTACATGGGGATTCCACAGATCCGGCAGCTTTCTGAAAGGTAAACTGTCACTGGAGGAAATGATCTCACTGTCAGAAAAGGACCTGGAACTCTGAAGTGCTTAAGTACTTAGCTTCAGCATGTTCATTGCAGAATCTTACTGTATGAAGGAACCTCAGATGCTGCCTGATCTAACTCTGTGTGGTGCAGGTGTCCCCGGACAATACCCCTCACCATGTCTTCTGCAGCTGCCTAGGTTAGAGAGTTATGGTTGTCCCCATTTGTGAAAGAAACAGTTCCAGGTATCTATTTCTTTGTGACAAACCAGCACAAAACTTAGTAGCTTAAAACATTAATTGTTTTGCACATATAATTTGGCCTGGCTCAGGGAACCAGCTCATCTCTGCTCCATGCAGAGCTGAGGCAGCTCAAGAGGGGAACTGGAGAATGCACTGGCTGGCTCTCATGGCTGGCAGGTTGGTGCTTGCTCGCAGCTGGGAGCTCAGCCAGGCTGTGGGCTGGGATCCGTTGTTGTCTTCCATGGGCTGCTTATACTTCCTCACGGTAGGGTAGCTGGTTTCAAGAATGAGCATCCCAACAGAACCAAGCCTTGGAAATTTCATAGCATCATTTCTGCCATGGTCATAAGCTTGATAAGATTCAAGAGGAAGGAACATAGTCTTCTCCCACACCCCCAATGGGAGGGATGTCAAAGTCTTGTTGTTACAAAAAGCATGTGGGATGGGGTAGATTGCTGTGGCACTCTTTAGAAAGTACAGTGGCTCATGCCTGTAATCCTAGCACTTTGGGAGGCTGAGGCAGGTGGATCACCTGAGGTCTGGAGTTTGAGACCAGCCTGGCTAACATGGTGAAACCCCATCTCTACTAAAAATACAAAAAACTAGCTGTGCATGGTGGTGTGCCTGTAGTCCCAGCTACTCTGGAGGGAGGCTGAGGCAGGAGAATTGCTTGAACCTGGAGGCGGAGGTTGCAGTGAGCTGAGATTGCGCCATTGCACTCCAGCCTGGGTGGCAGAGCGATACTCCATCTCAAAAAAAAAAAAAAAGAGAGAAAATATGGTGAGCCACTGAAACTTCAGATACGATAAAAAAGATGACTTTCTCTCCAACCTTATTCTTTCCTTCTTATTGCTGTTGATTTTTAATCCCAGATTGAGATCCATGGAAAGGAATGTAGTTACTCAGAGAGAAGAAAGATGAGGATTCTAAAGGAGGATGAGTAGTTGACTCAGTGCCTTTTCTGTTGGAAGTAGGGACAGGTAGAACACTGAGAAGGCAGAGACCATCATGTTGCAGCTCACCTCCTTGCAGCAAAGAAGAAATGAAGGGGTTGTTACTTAGCAGCAGCCATCATTTTTGATGCCTTTTTAATGAGATCTGACCGCTACAGGCTTCTTTGTTTTCCTTAAGTTTCCCTATCTGTAATTATGTAAGTAATTCACATAAACTTTTTAAAAATAGAGACATGGTCTCACTCTGTCACTCAGGTTGGAGTGTAGTGGCACAGTTATTGCTCACTGCAGCTTGGAGAGCTCCTGGGCTCAACTGATCCTCCCACCGCAGTTTCCCAAGTAGCTGGGACTACAGGCACACAGTACCACATCTGACTAATTCTTTTACCTTTTTGTAGAGACAGGGTCTTGCTCTGTGGCCCAGGCTGGTCTTGGGCTCCCAGAGCACTGGGATTACGGGCATGAGCCACTGCACCTGGCTCCACGTTTTCTCTTGTTAAAAAGGTCAAATTTATATATAGATGAATCCTAGTTCCGTTTAGCTAGACCTCAGAATCCCACTGTTCTCCCCAGGGGTTTTAAGTGTTACCAGTTTAATGGATATTGCTCCAAATTTTCATGTGTGTATTTACATAAATCTGTAGTTTCAGTTAATAGTTTAGTTTTGCTTTAAGTAAATGGTTTCTTACCTTATACTTTGTTCTATAAACTGCTTTTTGTTTTCAACCACATGTATTTTAGATGCTTTTTTTTTTTCCACATCAGTAATGTTTAGACCTGCTTCATTCTCTGAAGCTGATGCACAGAATCCCATAGAATAACATACCACTAAATTTAAATGGACTAAATGCCCCAATCAAAAGACACAGACAGGCAATTTGGATAAAAAGCCAAACCGATCAGTATGCTGCATCCAGACCTACCTCACATGCAAGGATACACAAAGACTCAAAGTGGTGGAGGAAGATTTACCAACCAAATGGAGAGCAAAAAAAAAAAGCAGGATCTGCAATTCTCGCCTCTGATAAAATAGACTTTAAAGCAACAAAGACCAAAAGATACAAAGAAGGACATTACATAATGGTAAAAGGATCAATGCAACAAGAAGAGCTAATGATCCTAAATATCTATGTACCCAATACAGGAGCACCCAGATACATAAGGCAAGTTCTTAATGACTTACAAAGAGACTTAGACTCCCACATAATAATAGTGGGAGACTTTAACACTACATTGTCTGTATTAGACAGATCAATGAGACATAAAATTAACAAGGATATCCAGTTATTAATAGTAAACTTAATAAACATTTACAGAACTCTCCACCCCAAATACACAAAACATACATTTTTCTCAGTATCACATCACACCTATTCTAAAAGTGACCACAAAATTGGATGTAAATCACTCCTCAGCAATTGCATAGCATTTCACAGGTTCAAATGAAATATTGGTTGGCTGTTTATTTTGCCTCCCTTGTTCCTTCCTGTCTCCATTGTTAAGCACATTTATTGGCATAAAAGAGGTTTTTAATACCCATTTTTAGACTGCACTCTCTCCCTCTTTTTCTTCCTCTTTTTCTCTTTCATTCTTTTTTTCTTTCTTTCTTTAAAAAAAAAAAAGAATAACATACCACAGATTATTGAACCATTTTGATAGATAGAATCCCATAGAATAACATAGCACAGATTATTGAACCATTTTGATAGCATTGTGTTGTTTCTGATTTTTAAAATATGCCCCCTTTTGCACATATGCAAGTATTTCTCTAGGACAGATTCCAGGTTTATATACATTTAGAATTTTAGTAACTACTGCCCATTTGCCGTCCAGCAAAGCTTTATATACTTGTAGTATGAGAGTACCGTTTCCCCATACCCTCAACAATACTTGGTACTGTTCTTCATTTTTATCTATCTGATGGTTGAAAATGGTATCCAGTTCCTTTGATTTTCATCTCCCTTGTAGATTAGTAAAACTAGATTAGTAAGATCAGTTTTTTGGTTTTTTTTTGAGGGAGAGTCTTGCTCTGTTGCCCCAGCTGGAGTGCAGTGGCATGATCATAGCTCCCTGCAACCTGTAATTCCTGAGCTCCAGCAATCCTTCTGCCTTCACCTCCTGAGTAGCTGGGACCACAGGTGAATACCACCATGCCTGGCTAATTTTTAAAACTTTTTTGTAGAAGCGGGGTCTTCCTACATTGCCAAGGTCTTGAACTCCTGGGCTCAAGCATTCCTCCTGCCTCATCTTCCCAAAGTGCTGGGTTTAGGTGTGAGCCACTGTACCTAGCCCCACTTGTATTCTTTTTTTATTTTTTGAGACGGAGTTTCCTCTTGTTACCCAGGCTGGAGTGCAATGGCGCGATCTCAGCTCACCGCAACCTCCACCTCCTGGGTTCAAGCAATTCTCCTGCCTCAGCCTCCTGAGTAGGTGGGGCTATAGGCTCGCGTAACCATGCCCAGCTAATTTTTGTATTTTTAGTAGAGACGGGGTATCACCTTGTTGACCAGGATGGTCTCAATCTCTTGACCTCGTGATCCACTCACCTCGGTCTCCCAAAGTGCTGGGATTATAGTCATGCTCCACTGCGCCCATCCCCCAGTTGTATTCTTAAAGACTCATGAGTTTCTTATATTCTAAGAAACTATTCTCTCTTATTCCTTTGAGTAGTCTCTACAGCTTGGTCTGTGCATTCTCTCCTTATGGAATTCTTGTTACATGAACATTAGAACGTCTAGATCTGCTGCCATATCTCTTAATTTTTCTTTCATGCTTTCCATCTGTCCTTTTGAACTGCTTTCTAAAAGAATTCCTTGACCCAATCTTCCTTTTTTAATTTATTTTTCACTTGCGTCCATTCTGCTATTTGGCCCACCTGTTGAATTTTTATTTTGACAGTCCAGCCTTTTAATTTCTAGCATATCTAGCTGATTCTTTTTTCTTTTTTCTTGGGCATAATGTTCTCATATATCTCCCACGGAATAGAAATTATGTGTATATAGCTCTGGGTTGCCTGTTCCATTTGTCTGTCCTCCAGTGTAAGGTCTTCAGTTTCCTCAGCGTCAACTCTCTCTCTTTAATATTCCTCAAATGTTTGTTGATTCTTAGCTGAAAGCTTATTTATTTTTTAATTTATTTTTTGAGACCGAGTCTCATTCCATCGCCCAGGCTGGAGTGCAGTAGCGTGATCTTGGCTCACTGCAACCTCTGCCTACTGGGTTCAAGCGATTCTCCTGCCTTAGCCTCCTACTAGCTGGGATTACAGGTGCCCACCACCACACCCAGCTAATTTTTGTTTTTGTTTTTTTTTTGGTGGGGGGGGAGGAAGGCAGGAAGGGAGGGAAGGAGGAAGGAAGGGATGAGGGAAGGAAGGAAGGGAGGAAGCAGGGGGAGGGAGGGAGGGGGGGAGGGAAGCGAAGGAAGGAAATCAAGCAGCAGTGAGAGAGACATTGCAGACCTGGATCTAGAGGTTTACAAGTTGATTTCTTTTTTTTTTTTTTTTCCTTTTTTTTTGAGAGAAGGAAAGAAAATAAAAATGAGTAAAGGAGAGGAAAGAGGAAGAGAAAGAGGGAGGGTGAACGGAAATATTGCTTTATTCTGAAAAAAAAATGGGTATTAATAATGGCCAATCAATGTTTCATTTAAACCTATGAGTAGGTGTGATGTGGTATTGACAAGAATGTATATTTTGTGTATTTGAAGTGGAGAGCTCTATAAATATTTATTAAGTTTACTTGTTCCGGATCTGAGTTCAAGTCCTTGATATCCTTATTAATTTTCTGTCTCATTGAATCTAAGTCTCTGTGTA